GAATCACCCAGCTAAAGTGATTGTTCTTTCAGGGGTGTCCGAACGTGGGCACTTTAAGACTGATGGACATCAACTCCCAGAATTCCCCAGCCAGCCGTGTCTGTTTCTTTTTTCTCTTAATCTCCTAAAGTGGAGAGAGATTGCAGAGGAAGGGATTACAAGAGAGCAAACTCTGCTGGCTGGAGAATCCTGGGAGTTGAAGCCCACCAGTCTTAAAGTTGCCGAGTTTGGGGACCCCTGATTTAGGTTACTGAGTCCAGATCCCTACTCAATGTAAGGCACCTCCCAACAGCCCAGGCACAACTCAAACAAACCTACCAAAGTCACCGACAGTCAGATAACATACAATTTTAACAAATCATCCTCAGGAAATTTCCCACTTCCCTAATTAACTACTCTACCCTTGACTCATGCACTCAATGCAGGTTCAATTTGTTTCCAAGAAGGGCTCCCACAGCACTGACAAAAGCCCAGGAGTTAAGTGCCTCCTTTTTGAAAAGAAAGAAGAGGAAAAGGGGTTAAGAAACCAACCTCTCCTACGGGACACTGCGAGGAGAGATAAAATAAGGGGCCCTTTTAGCGGAAGCCATGTGAAAATGCTACCTTGAAGAAGAAGAAGAAGAGGAGGGGAATTAGGATGCATCACCCCCAGGCAGGAAGCCAGCCCTGATCCCCAGAGCACCTGCAGAACCCTCTGCCTCTTACCGTGTCCAAGCTCTCTTCCTCCGCCCGCCGAGCCTGTCCCTCTTCTGCCAAGGAACCTCAAGCCCAAACGAGAGGAGCCCCACCAAGCCCGCCCGGGAGAGAAGGCCGCCTGCCGCGCTAGAGGGACCTTCGCTGGCTTGTAGGAGAGACAAAGGAGAAGCAAAGGAAGAGAAAAAGAACCACCCCACGTTTCCTGTTTGCTTTACTTTGCATAAGACGTTCCTGTCGCAATCTTTGCTGCTGATAAAACTGCGGGAGGGGCGAACGAGGGGAAAGCCCACCCGGAGTTTAGCCAACCGCAGCGGCCCTCGGAGGAGAGCAGTCGCTCCCGGCATTTGTTGTGGGTACAAACCACGGCTAGGACGGTTCTCCTTGTCCTTGGCTGAGATGGCACCTGCGTGCCGCACGAAGAACCCCGGTGGGAAGTGCCCGCAAAAGGAGGACCCGCTGGGAGGGGCAAGGTCTTGCTAAATCTAGCCCAAAGTGCAAGCACTTGGCTTCAGTGCCAATGGAGAGAACTGGTTGGCGCCGATGCCTGCTCTGTTTATGGTCCCATAGGGGGTCAAGTAAATACCAGTCAATGCTGGTTTTTATTTCTTAACATTCGAATGCACCTTTTCTTTTATGGACACCGAGAGTATTTACACCAAGGCAAATTCCTTGTGTGTCCAATCACCCTTGGCCAATAAAGAGATTCTATTTCTATTCTATTCTATTTTATTCTTATTGTACCCTATGACTGTCATTAAGTGTTGTACCTGATGGTTGATGAATGTATATTTTCTTTTATGTACACCAAGAGCATTTGCACCAAGACAAATTCCTTGTGGGTCCAATCACATTTGAATAAAGAATTATTCTACTCTACTCTACTCTACTCTACTCTACTCTACTCTACTCTACTCCTATTCTACTCTTATTCTACTCTTATTCTATTCTATTCTATTTGTGTTCCTGTTCACAAATAGCTTCCAGGTGAATGGAAGAACAGGTTTGCATGGCTATGCAGAGGAATCGTAATCTAATCAGAATCAGGAATTACACCCTCCTTGTCTATTTGCTGCCCAGAGGGTTTATCGCAAATATTGTCTAGCCACAAACAGACCCGCTTTCCTCCGGGGGCTGGGGGAAGAACGCCTGGTTTACGAAATCAGCAAGGAAATTCTCTTGAAACGCTGAAGGTTATTGCCAAACGGTAGCGGTCTATTCTGAAGCACTCGGGAACCTCTCGGTGTTTTTCCCCCAAACAAGCGGCACGTAGTTTGCTCTTTCTTCATCTAGAGCGGCCCCTGCTCTCCCCTCGCCCTGAACTTGAACAGGTTGGGCTAAACCAACACAGGTGGGAGCATCAGCTTAGGGCAAGGTTACACAATCCGCAATCCTGTCGAACCATTTATAGTAACCGTTGCGTAAAAGGGAAAGCAGTGCCGAGCTCAGCCTCGGAAATTCAGGGTTTTACCTATTTATAGCAGCCAGCTCTTAAAATAGGCAGCTCCGAGAAGGAAAGTACATACCTGTTTCTTGACTAAACCCAAAGGGGTTGAGTTCAAGAACCATCCCAAGCCATTAATCATGGATTACAAACATCAGTGGCTTGGCTGACAGTGGGTGCTTAACTCAGAATAAAGCGTTGCCGGTTGTCTACTCCAGTTCGGGTTCTAAACCCCCCTAGAAAAAGAGGGGAGATAGCTGAGGCAGGAGAACATCAAGGTGGCCTTAAGTTTTCTTGGAAAGCTGCAAGATTAACCCCCTCCAAAACTCTAAAGGAGGAACTTTTCCAGGCATGAAACAATGAATGTTTCACCTGTCCCTGCTCTGGGAAACCCAGATTTCACTTTCAAGAAAGATTCGTGGCAAACCAAACCTGTGGAGAAATCCTAGCTTCGCACAAACCATCACTTAGCCATCTTTCATTCACCTGGGAAGAGAGGCAGATCTACTCTGCTCCTACAACGCTAAAAAGGGGGGGGGGCTGCCTCCTTGTTTAACCATGGTTTGTTGAATAAGCCACAATTCTCTGCCAAACACAAGGAAATTGCTAATCGTACAACATACGGTTCCTCACAGTCTCTTATCCCGTGTGCTGCTTTCCCAACCTGGCACCTCCACCTTCCAGAATTCCCCAATTTTGGACTTGGAGCCAAAGGCCAGGAGGCATCTCCCAACTCTATTGAGTCCACCTCTCAAATTCTGCTGACCAAGCTTTGCTGACCATAACTCGTCCGCTCCAAAACACCTGGGAAACTCACTGAAGCTTGCAGAAAAATCTGCCTGGTTAAATATTCTTCAGTCTTCCACGGAAACCAACTTTTATTTACTTTTCTTGCAATCCGTCAGTCCCCCCTCCAAGGCCTTTCGCAACTTCTGGGATCTTTTAGAAAACCCCCACCCCAATGACCCTCCTCCCATTTCTAGCCTGTCATGTGAAGGTGGGGCCTCTTGCTTGCTTGTTCCTCCCCCTCCCCAATCTTCAATTAAAATGTCTCTTTTTTTAAAAAAAAGCACTTTCAGCCTCTCTTCCCTGTCCGCATTCTTCCCTTCTCTGCGGGTTCAGCAAAGCTCACTTTATCAAAAGCCCCACACGACAAAACATTCCCCTTTGGGGCAACCCTTCCCAGGCCTTCAGTAAACCCGCCAACTCTGTTTCAAAGCTCCGCTAACATCCTGGCGGAGGTTTTATACGAACCTCTTTAAATGACCCCCCAGCTTCCTTCTATACTCTCTGCGTTTCAGATTCCTTTTCTTCGTGAAAGGCCCCACCCTTCCCACAGTTAAAAAGTTTTATTCTTTATTAATGTTGAAAAACTCTTTTTCTCATTTGAAAAACAAATTTTGCATTTTTCCTCTCTGGGGAGGGTGCTTTCATTTCATGCTGCTTAGCCACAAGCATTTACATTTCTTGAGAACAACCGTCTCTGCAACCAAGTCACACTGGGTCTATTAGAGTATAGGGGTCTCTCCAACCTTGGCTGCTTTTAAGTCTGGAGGACTTCAACTCCCAGAATTCCTTAACCAGCTTTGAATTCCCCAGCCAGAATTCTGGGACTTGAAGTCCTCCAGCAAAGCTGGCTGGGGAATTCTGGGAGTTGAAGCCCACCAAATCTTAAGGTTGCCAAGGTTGGAGACCTCTTGATGTGGACCCGGGTTAGCCTCTTAGGGTGCAACCGCGGGGTGGGCCAAGCTGCATCCAAACGCCGGTCGGTCGGGAACCACCCTGCAAGCGGCGCCCTCGTCCCCCATGGCCAAGCCCGCATCGGCCGCTTCCAGACGAGCGAAGAGGCCTCTTGGCCCGGCTGGCTGAGCCGAGGAGGTTCCGGACCGCCCTTCGCTCCTCGACTCCAAGGGGGGCGGGGGGGACGGGCAGGGAGACAGCCCCCCCCTCCCCCAAACTGGGGAGGGGGTCCTATGGGGAGGGGAGGCGGCCCGGCTCCCAGCCTCGTCCCGGGACTGCTCGGAGGGCGAAGGGGAGCTTTCCCGGGTTGCTCGTGGCGCAAGGGGCTCCGCCTCTCGGGGTCCCCGGCTGGGCTCCCCCTGCCCGGAGGAGGGCGGGCTGGAGCTCCCTCCTTCCCTCCCGGGGCCCCCCTTGCCGTACCGTGCGGGGCCACCAGCCGCTTGGAGAGCCCGGGCTGCCTGCGCCTCCCCCTCCTCGCCTCGCTCCCGGCCCCGTTGGCGCAGAAAGCGCGTCTGGATGCAGGAGGAGGAGGAGGAGGAAGAGGCGGGCAGCCCGGCCGGTCCCCCACCCACCCCACCCCACCGCCCCCCTTCCCGCCGGCCAGAGGGCGCCTCTCCCCGCGGGCGGCAGGCAGCGCTGGCCGGGCTCCTCCGCGCAGCCGGCGGGGGATCCGGGCAGGGGGCTCGGCCGGGTCCCCACATCGAGCCAGCCGGGGCTGGCGAGGGAAGCCGTCGCCTGGCCAGGGAGGGCGGAACCGGCTCGGCTCCGATTTCCAGGCTTTCGGCCCGGCCGAGTGAGCAGCCCGGCTGGGGGGACGTCCCGGGCCAAAGGTCGGCTTCGGCCCGATGTGCACGTTCTGCTGGCCGGCCAGGCCCCCGAACCCTCCCGGGCGCAACGGGCCTCTGGAGGGGGGCCTTGCGGAGGACTTTCCCCCCACCCGCCCCGTCTAAAGCCCCGCTGCGCTGCCCCGGGCAAGGAGCCCCACTCGCCGGGAGGCCCTCGGGGGAGAGCGCCGCGTCCCAGGCGCTGCCTCTCCAGCCTGGCGCCCATCTCCGCTTCGGCGGAGCCTCCCGGGGGCGCCTGGGGTGGGCGCCGCTTCCAGCGCCAAGGCAGCCCTCGCCTCCCGCCGCTTCGGGCTCCGCCCTCCCTTTGCTGCCCGTCGCAGCGAGGAGTCTCCAGCCAGGCCGAGGACGAGCGGTCGTCTTGCAGCCAGTCCGGCCGCTGGACCGGCGAGCGAAGTCCGCGGCTGCCCAGGCCGAAGCGCCCGGCCTCGCGGGGGGCGCTGGAGCTACTCAACAGGCTGCGAAGCGCCCGAAGGACCCCATCCCGTCGCCGGGACTCTCCCCCCCCCCCCCCCCCCCCCCCGCCGCCCCTTGGCCTTACCTTCTAGGGTCCAGGCCTGCGCTCGGCCGGGGGAGCCTCGTGGTCCGGCGCGAGCCGCATGAATGGCTCCGGCGGGCCCCTGCGCTTGACCCGCCCGCCGGAGCCCAGCAGCCTGGAGCAACCTGCGAGCCAATGCCCGGCGACTTAGCCCCTCCTGGTGGCACCTTCTGTAAGGCCACCAGTCGGACCGGCCCTTTGGCTGCTCCTGCCTGCGCCCCAAAGGCAGCGGTGGGAGGCCAGCTGTGCCCCATGGGCCCCACTGCCTTGGATGCCCGTTTCTGCAGCCGCCCGTCTTCTTCCCTCCCTCCCGCAAAGGTCGCCTGTTTAAGGGTAACAAGGAGCCTCCTCCGTGGGACACCCCAGACGCCTCCTGTCCACCCAACCCTTCCACCTGGACCGGCCCTGCAGGTGAAGCTGCTTCCAAAAGTGGACACCGTTCCCCACTGCGACCGTCACCTCTGGGTCAGAGGAGGCCAGGGGTCACCCTGCCTTCCATCGAGCACCCCAAACCCCACAGCCCCAAATTTACTCATCCTACAAGGAAAATGCCTGAGGCCTTCTTGAGGCTCCCTTTATTAAGTTCTCACTTTGGACAACATCATCATTATTATTATTATTATTATTATTATTATTATTATTATTATTATTTACGGAGAGGAAGTTTCAAGTGACTTTCCACAAATGCGATGCTGGGGCAAAAAAAAAAACCCAACGCCATGAAAATTTAACAAGTTACTCATTTAATAGGCATTTTACCACATTTGTATTGTACACTGTCATCTGTTTAAAAAGATTACAGGTTTTTCTTTAAAAACTAAACAAACGAACAAAAAAATACCCACAAGAAACTGTGAGTCATAGAAACAGGTGAACACTGGGCTCCCTGCTGTAGTTGGGTTGTTTTCTAAGCTTTGTAGAGAGCGAGTCTTCACGACGCAAGTAAAACAGAACCTAAAGTAATTCTAATTCTCAGGCAAGTCTCCTCACGTGTTACACCTTTCTGAACTGGCTAAAAGAGCACAGTAGCACCGACACTGAATATAAGGGAAGTATCAAAAGTCTTTAATCTCGTACTTCAGCTGCTCACAGCTTTACTCTGCTAGTTCAAGTCGTCCTTCCTGCAGGGGAAAAAATCCAGCTTAAGACACCAGTGCATCTCTACGGGCCTTTCTGACCAGTCTTCCCCTGCACAACTTCATTTCTACAGAGACACAAATCTTAAAATCATGGCTTTAAAACGGTGATTTCAAAGTATACGGGAGGGTTGAGGTGCTGCAATTAAAACAGACATCATACTAGTGAAGCTGGCAAAAGTTGGGGGTGGGTTGAAAAAGCCGACCACGGGACTCATGTACGTGACAAACCCTTTAAAAACAAAAAGCTTTTTACAAGTGAACCGTATCAACGGGATGCGATTTGACCGTCATAACGTTTCCTAGTCACACGGCACGCTGGTGCCTCCTTGGCTCCTAAAATAAAAAAGCAGGCATTGCACATCACCTGGTCTCCACCGCTTCAAGGAGTCAGTTGCACAATTACCCAGAATGAATGGCAGGAGAGGCGCTGTGAAGTGTACAGCCGGAACATCGAGAACAAAAAAATGGTGTTGTGTTTTTTTTCCTCTTTTTTTCCAAAGACCAGTTTTTTGTTTTTTTTAAAACTCTTCTTGCGAAGGGAGAAAGTCTCATTTGCTGCTACATCCAGCAAATACATCCGTCCAAATGAATCAGAAAGAAAAACCACAACACATGAAGTCTAGTCTTAGCAAGCTGACTGACACACCTTACCGGTTTTTGTTTTGTTTTTTAAAAAAATGAAGATTATATACTATGGTACAAGTCCCAACCAGGCAGGCCCGAGAATGCTTATTTCTTTGCTTGTTTTGTGATCATACCCCTGGGTGGCGTTACAGGTCGGCTAGCGTTGGGCTTCTTTTTCTCCGCAGGCTTCAAGATCTGGAATGACAATTTGCTGGTTTAGTGATACAGGTTCTGCAGGCAGCTACTACAAGGAAACCACACACAGGTAGAGAGAGTCACACCGGTTTGCTCAGACCTGAAAAGACAGGGCTAAATTACTCCATCCAAGACCCAGAGTGGACTAGGATCACATCTTCCGCTCTCTCGCTCGGCCTCTCTGAAAAGATCAGTGCATTTCCTTCCGATTCCGTAAGCCAGGGATGGGCACCTGTGGCCCCTTTATGACCTGTAGCCTTCCAACTCCCAGAATTCCTGAGCCACCACATCCGTGGCTCAGTTGAGGAGGCAGCCAAGAGGGTGTGCGCTGGAGTATACCCCAAGCCAGGAGTGGTTTGGGCTTTCGAGACCAGCCTAACAAACCTGAACTCGGATGCAGTTGGGGTGTGTTCGTCCCACAGCTTGCAATGACCCTACTTCCTTCTCTCCAAAGGTCACTTTGGAAAGCAGCGGGGGGGGGGGGGGGGGGGGGGGGGATTCTTGGGAGAAGCCAGCTCCAGGCCAACCGATTAAGGCTGCCCTGGGTCTAGTATGGCAACCGGCAACGCCACACAGAGCCAGAATAATGCATCTTCAAATGGCTAATGCTCAGAAGGTGGACCGGAAGGAAACCGTCACTGAACAACACCAAAAGGAGGGGAAGCAAAGCACCCGGGGCTTCGAAGGTACCTTACCTGAAAGGAGCACATTAGAGTCTCATCCACACTCATCATAGCACCTGCATTGTCAAACTCCCCACAGTAATTGGGGGCAGAAAACAGAGTTACCAGCTGCCTTTTTGCAAAGAATTCATATCCATCTTCAACTACCTGTAAAGGCAAAAGACGGTTCTCTTAGTACTGGTGGGGTGGGAAAGAAGGCAAGAAAGCAGGAATTCGTTTTATGGGAAATGCGGTAAGCTCCTTTTCTCCGAAAGTCTGCAAAAGGTTCCACTTGCTGTGAACACACTGACTGAAACTGCCACAGCGCCGGGCACCACAGCGGCATGTCACAACACAGGGATAACACTAGCTGCCCGACGAGCGCCCAAATGGCACTAGCTACCGTGTTCTACATAAAGGTGGGGTGTTTTAGGCAGGGCTAGAAAAAGCCTCAGCGGCCTCTCCGTTTACACCAGATGCTGCGGTTGGGCTTTCCTCCTCGGGAGCCTGTTTCTTTATCCCGCTGTGAGACATGCTCTCTCCGTCCAGCCAGGGGAGAGGGAGAGAGAGAGAGAGAAGGCAGAGGATTCCTAAAGCCAAGCAGCTGCTCTGAATGCCAGAGGCAGAGGGGAACATTTTCTAGGCGCTTCTACTCTCCCTTTACCTGATGAGCTCTGCATATAAGGTCCAAATCGTGTTTATGAAGGAACTTTGCCACCACTTCGGCTCCAAATGTGAAGGACACCCCTCGGTCGTTTTCGCCCCATCCAAGCACATCCTTATCGGGGTCAGACCACAGCAGGTCACAAAGGAGGCCTTGGTCTGGCACATCTGTGGGCCGCATAATTCGTCGGATTTGTTCCATCGACTGGAGATCTGGTGATAAGCCTGGGCAGGAGATTAAGAGGCGGCTGGTTTGAATTTGGGAGATGCGCAAGGCAAACACAGTGCACAACAGCCAGAAGCACACGGGAAGGAGATCTGTTGCCCTGGGCAGTTCTGAGGAAGAGCAGCCGGCCAACTTCACCCGAGAGGTGATGCTCAATTGAGGGACCCAATACAGGACCAGAGGAAGACCAAATATGAGAAATTAAAAACAATTCCTTAAGAGGCTCCCATTTCTTGGATACATATCCAGATTTACTCAGACTTCAACTGGATTCAGGAGAGTAATTTGGAAACATAAGTCCCGAGTAGCACCGATTTAAATGGGTGCAGCTGAAATGAAACTAAACCTGGATCCGATACTAGGAAGACCACATCGTAATTGCAGTCCCAGCCCCTTCCAGAGCAAGCTGTCCCCAAGAGAATCACCGCTTTGGCCAAATAAACTGCTCACAAAACAGACCTCCCTTTGGTTTAGTGCCGTTGTCTCAAATGAAAGCGTGCCCTGCCCTTGCTGAGCCAAAACGTTTTCTTTCACGCACACATCTGTTCGGCTGTAACCTCCCACTCACATCCTCCAAAACTGCAAGCTTGAGGCTTCTGCCTCAAAACATCCTGCAGATGTTTAGATTATAAGGCAGGAATGGCACAACTATTTATATATCATATGGGCAGCAGGAATTGTCTGTGTAGCCTGCAATTATCTCATATATCTCATATATATCTATATATTTATATGTATGTATATATAGATATATATAGTTTTGATTTAAAAAATGTTCCGCAGTCTTCCTACAAAATTAAGGGTCGGTTCAATAATTTTAAGCCTGCTTCCCGATATAAGCTGGTGGCCCTCAAGCCTTGACATAGCTACGATTAAGGAATGAAATGTTGAGTTTTGTCTCTGAAAATATCCCAAGAGTTATAAAACACGCCTTGAAATTCAACTCTGATCAACTATGCGGCCCAAGATGGCATCCAAAATTACTTACCTCCATGGCAGCAAAATATTTTCTCGTCCACAATGGCTGCAATTGGTAAGCAGTTGAAGCAGTCTGTAAAGGTTTTCCACAGCTTGATGTTGTATCTTCGTTTACCTGGGGAACGAAGTCGTTTCAAAATCAAGCGGGACAGAGAAGTTTAGGGGGGAATAGAAAGAAGAAGGAAAAAAACCACCTCCTTCCTATCCCTCGCAGTTACTCCTAGGCCTGATCTGGCTCGTCTTCGGTGAAGACTGGCTTGACCTCTGTAGAGTCCTTGACTCGCAACCATTTCTTTAGTCACCGTTCCAAGCTACACGGAAAAAACTGACTTGCAACCGGACCGTGGACTTAGAACCGCTGCAGCATCCCCACTGCCCCAGGATGCTTGGCAACCGGCGTGTCTATTTACAACGGCTGCAGTGTCCCACCGGGTCACGTGACCACCGTTTGCGACCTTCCCAGCCAGCTTCCGACAAGCATTGTCAAGGGGGAAGGTGGATTCGCTTAACGACGGGGGGATTCGCTCAAGTGATTTGCTTAACAGCAGCGGCAAAAAAAAAAAAAAGTTGTAAAATGGGGCACAGCTCACTGAACCTAAGTCTGGCTTAGCAAGGGATATTCTGATTCCAATCCGTGGTCTTAAGTCAAGGACTCCTCCTACAACTTTTAACCAAAAGGGATGATAAAAAGTTCAGAAGAAAGGAAAGGAACATGATTTATTTTCTGCCTTTGTGACAGGAGACCTTCAGTGTGACACAAAAGATCAAAGACGTTAAGCAGCCGCTCCACTCTGCAGCCCGATCAACGCACAACTCCCTCCAAGGATCGAGATCACTTCATGGTCAACAAGTGAGGGCACCTCCCTCCTTGAGAAAGCCACCCTTCCCTACACGCGTACTTACATTCGTCGTAGAACCCATAAATCCTATTAATGCTAGCACATTCGTGGTTGCCTCTTAAGAGGAAAAAGTTCTCGGGATATTTTATCTTGTAGGCCAGCAAGAGGCAAATTGTCTCCAGGGACTGCTTCCCTCGGTCAACGTAGTCCCCGAGAAAGAGGTAGTTGCTCTCCGGTGGAAAACCACCATATTCAAACAGTCGCAGGAGGTCGTAGTATTGTCCGTGGATATCACCTTAAGCAAGCAGAGGAAAGCAGTTTTCAGGGCAGTTTGGCTCACTAAAGCGAGAATCCAACACAGCAATATATTTTAAATATGCAAATTAAAGGGAGCACTACGTAAGAGCATTAAGGAAAGCAACCAGAGACCTCAGTCAGGTTGTCAACAAGTTTCCCCGTGGTGCCAACATTATTTATGGCTGTGGTTTTAAAAGTAAATTAGAGCCAGAGTGTGAATTTCACCCGTAGTTTTATAGCTGAAGTATATTCTAATGCTTCTGAAAAAGAGGAAATAACTATTTCCCTCTCTCACGTGGACGTGGCAAGGACGAGCAAAGTGAGAGGGAGGAAACTCTATTTAAATATGCAGAACGGCTATGAGACGAGAGTGTATCAAAAATCAAGTACTGTATCTTCCTGAAATTTGTTTCCTTTTAGTTACATCCCATAGTTCCCTTTCAGCACTCTATTCAAAGACGGAGTTTCATCTTCAAGCAACCTGGCTGAAAGAGGTTACGACTGCAATTTTCTAACAGATCCGCCATCCTCAGATACATCACCTGAAGTTACTAGCTAACAAATCCCGTGAATCATTATTAGACTGTTTAAAACACACACACACACACAAGGTACTTACCACATATTTTAAGTGGTGCTTCAAGTTCTAACAGAATTGGTTGACTGAGGAAGATCTCTCGAGATTTCAAGCACAATCCTCTTATTTCATTCTCTTGAAGTTGGACATTTTTACCAGGTTTGGATCCTCTCACTACGTAGAAAAAATATGTGATTATTTGTAGCACATTGTATACATAGAAGTCCAATCAGTTATTTTTATTAGGATGGAGGATTTTGACACCCCCCCCCAAATCTTTCTTGAATTACATCCGTCAATTCATTTCACACGGACAGAACATTAGGAATACGCATAGTTATTTTTTGACTACCAGCTCAGGCCAACCTATTTTGTGCTGTTGATGTGTATTTTTTTGCAATCAGCACCACATATCCGGTATACCTAACAGTTTATTCCAGTTGCACCTTCTAAAAAGAATGCATTCTTTATTAAATTCAAAATAGCCACTCGGAATAATTGTGGCTGTAACACACGGCTGCTAACGCATTATTAAAAATCGGTAAAGTCCATTGTAATAGGTGGGTATAGTTTAAAAGTGCTTTCTTCATCCAGGCGTAGCTATACTGAAAACTGAAGCTGTTCACAATGTGTGTGTAAGAGTAGTGAATTCATCACCCTCATAGCGCACCATGTTTCAAGATGTCAACCACATTCTCTAACTGCATGTAAAATATTCTCAAAAATATTGAAGGGAATTGTAGCAGCTTTAGATTTGCATAATCAGCAGAACAAAGGATCAAAAAATGCTGCTGACCAATTGCCACATTTGCATAATTTATGCCTATTTCATGCTTGCAGAGAGGGAACAAACTAGATTCTGTGATTATCTTCTCCAAGAGTTTGATTACAAGATTTTATATTCTCTCTCTCATCTGTGTCTTACATCATATAAACAAGCAAAAAAAAAAAAAAGTTTAAAGTACTTGTACTGACAGTTCTGAAGAGCTCAAAGATTAGGTTTAACAAGCTTTGCTTTGAGTCAATATTAGAATCAAGCTGAAGATTTCCCAGGAAATAAAAGTTGTGACTTGAGCAATACCGGGACTTGCCCCATAATTATCTTATTCTGTCAGTCATGTTAGCATTTTATAGTGACATTATCAGTTTCATTAGATATTGGAGGAGCAATCAAAATTCCGATCACATATAATCTAGCATAAACTCACTGAAACATTTCCTTCTGCATTGCAGCATGGCTGCTCTGTGGCAGAAGGGATTTGTGGATAACGTTTTTCCAATTCAGCTCCCAAGCTACCACCGAGTAACCCGAAATGTGTTTAACAAAACTGCCAGGTATCTAACAGCAAAGCAGTTATAGAAAAACCAACCCGATAACTATTTAAAAAGCCAACCAGATAATTAGTATTTCTTAACCTTAACTATTAGAATTAAGTGTGTTAACACAGAATAAACTTTCCAGGCATGAAATGTTGAAGAAATATTATTAAAATTAAGTTGAAGTCCAAAGACCAAACTTTAGGGGAAGTTAGCAATCAACAACTGAAAGGAGCATTATGTTGAATCTGTGATCTACAATTTAATTTACAACGTGACCAGATGACAATTGTCCTCACAACTGTCTACAAGATAATTTATGTGCTATTGCAAATTCTCTCAGCTGTTATCCTGCCACAAGGCAGCTATCCAAGATCCCTCCAAATATGTCTAATATGCCAGACTACTGACCATATATCTCTTGCTTTGACTCTACCCGAGGAGCTGGTTTTCACTGAAAAAAACACAAAGCATCTGAATTTTCCAATTCCTCTAATGCAGTATGCAAGATTTCAGTCAAATTGTCTTAATTGCTAATAAGCTGAGAATAGAAAGATTCACTCTTTACAAACCCCCTTCACAATTTTCAGAATGAAGTGCTTTAACGCTGGAGATATAAAACAGGCCCCCTAACTGTCAAAATTGGGTGACCTGAATTGGGTGACCTGGCTACATCAAAGGTGGGGGGGTGGGAGAGAGACCAAGAGGAGACCCTCTTGACTGGTTCAGTTGGAATCCTGCATCATTTTATTCCTTCTTTCTGAGTATTGTTTCCTTTAGAGGCTGTTATGTAACCTTTATATAACATTGTACAAGAACTGGTACCCTGAATTAGCTTACCTACTTCTCTTTTTCCCCCCCTTTTGAACTAGTACAGCACAAGCTAGCATTTTATACTGAAAAGAGAGCTGAAAGGTGAGATAAATAGATAAGATATAGACAAGGCCATAAACTGGAAAGTGAGCCTTACTTATTGTGGCTTTCAAACCTATAATAATCTCTTAAGCTTTGTCTGTTCCAAATATTCTAACAGCATGTGCCCTGAATTAGTGCCAGTTCAAGTGAGTAAAAATATCGCAGATCTGTTTTGCCAGGCAAATCCTAGAGAAATCCGCTCTTAAGCCCCCTTCCCACTTGTGACCAAAATATTCTGAATTTAGTGGAGGACGCAGCTTCCTTGATGAAGAGGGACAGCACAGGAGTTAATCATGGACACCACTCTTGATTTAATAAGCATTTAAACAGCAGAGAGAAAAACAATGGCCTATGGAAAACAACAGGTGACCTCATATTTATCACATGGGAGGGAAAATCTCCGTCTAAATTATAATTCTCCCAGCATAATGTGGCGTGGTGAGTAACTTACACAAATGATACTGTACAGAGCCAGGGAGAAACGAACAGGTAGTTTGTTTAGGAAACTATTAAATTTGTAGACGTACAAAAAATATTTTCAAAATGATTTCCAGAGCAGACCACCCAGGATTGAACTTAACCGGTGCCACAGAATGTGGAGGGACGGGTGGAGGCAACGGAATGGCCTGATGGGCAAGGGATACAGCCGGCTGGCTGGCTGAGCAAGTGAAGCTCGGCCCTGAAGGCAGAGCCCGTTGCAAAGCCGGTTGCTCTCGGTACCAGTCGGCAGACGTAAATCTTACAACCTTCTTCACAAGTCAGTACTGTGCCCTCCCACACTGGCTTCAAAGCAAATCAAAACTTTCACTTCTGCACGCCAAGAGAAAAACATCGACAGGCTTTAATCGGATGGTTGTTGTCTTTCTTTAAAAGGCAAAAAACCTACACAGGTAGTCCTCGACTTACAACAGTTCATTTAGTGACCATTCAAAGTCACAACGGCACTGAAAAAAAGCCATAGTTATGACGGTTGCCGTGTCCTGGGGTCGTGTGATCGCCTTTTGCGACCTTCTGACAAGCAAACTCAATGGGGAAGGCAGGTTCATTTCACAACTGGGTTATTAACTTAATAACTGCAGTGTTTCACTTAACAACTATGGCAAGAAAGGTCGCAAACTCACTGAAAGAATCCTTTACTTAGCAACGGAAATTTGGGGCTCGATTGTGGTCGTAAGTTGAGGACTACCCGCATTGATCTTTTTCAGATCGCAGCTGTTCATTAATTACAACTTTACCTGTTTACCCTGCAAAGAGAGAGGAGGATAGAAACAGCGGGCAGAATCCAGCCAAACCTGCTTTGTTCCTCAAAGCCTCTGGCGCGACGCATATCCTAAGATGCAGCCTATATGGCTTATTAGTGATTTGTTCCAGAGGAAAATATTTATCAACATGGATATAGCTGGTCCTTTGACTACTAGGGAACAGCACTAATTGCAAACTGCACAATCAAAATTAATTAGTTCTGCAGGCTTAAATTTGCTTCCATTGTTCACTAAGCGCTGTGACCATCAACTTTATGCTTTTTTTCCCTATTGGGATTTTTCAGGCCATAGTTATAATTATGGCCCGAAAAATCCTAATATGAAAAAAAAAGCACAAAGTCCTTCACCACAAAGGCATGAAAATACCACAATAACAGGTTGACTCAGCCTTCCAAGGTGAGTAAAATGAGGACCCAGATTGTTGGGCGCTATCGCTATAACAGAGTTGGAAGGGACCTTGGAGGTCTTCTAGTCCAACCCCCTACTCAAGCAGTTCAGGCTCATGCGACTTGCAGGCAGTAACATTTAGCCAGGGTTGACTGCAAAAGAGAAAGGAAGCCCAAGTCCATCTTTGCAAAGACCAGATAAAATAGTTTGCAATGTGCACTTTTATTAGTCATCTATGGTTAAATAAGAGATTTGGAAAGATAATATTGAGAAAGCATGAAAGCCACTTCTTCTAACAGGAAGCCCATAATATTCCACTTACATCTGGATTGTTAAAGGCCCAGACAGGATTAAAATATGTTGCTTTGCAATAAAAGGCTAAGCTGTTCAACATCTACTAGTCTTGATAAGCAAGTAAATAACTAGATTTTCTGGTCATACAGAATAGGTGGTTGAACACACTGTTTCTTTGCAGGTATCCATTGAATCACACAGATCTATAATAGTCTGTAGGCTCTGCCTAAAGACGGAAGATCTAGATTGGAACAGGCTCACCGATGTTTGTCTGAGAACTTGTAGCTTTTCCAACTATAAAATGAAAATTAAACTGGCTGCTCTGAGCACAAAACTACCCCCTTTTTATTGTATTTGTGGGGTTGGAAGTTGAAAGTTAGTTCCCTGCATTAGCCAAATATGGAGAACTGGAGCATGCAGGCAGACTAGAGAGCTTTTAGTTCTAATTATATTTTATAGCGATACCACCCTTCCAAAGTTCAGAAATGATATGAAGCTGTACTTTGTAGAACAAAAGCCAGCACACTTTCATTCTCCTCTTCTTGGATCTGAAAGGAAGCAGGAGGACCAAAGCTTTGCAGCTCTTTTGTAGCAACAACTAAGCCACAAAATCTTACTGCAACTCTTCCAAGAACAGGGTAAATACACAATTAGGAAGCATCCTTCTCTAAAATGCTGAGAGATGCACTTTAGAATAAAATGCCAATAAATGTATTTTAGAGCCCAAAGTCTTTCATATTTGGGGTTAAAATTACCGATGCAGAAGAAAAAAGAATACGACATACTTTTACAAGTAATCAATTCCAAGAGAAAATATATTTTTACAAAATTCTCTCACTGCAGCATAATTTAAATTATATTAATACACGTGTAGCATTAAGTAGCAATAAGATTTCTATTAATAGAATAGGGTGTTAATAGCCCCTGTTTATCCCTCCAAGATATGTATACACAACCAATTTTAACTCACATTGCATTAAATGACACCAAAAATTAATCTATACTGAACTCATGCTGTTGTCATCTGAAATTTAAATTTGTTCAACAAATGAAGAGAGATGATTAAGCAACCATTTTTACTAAGCATGCAAGAACAGCTCTAATAATACTAGAAGGGTTTGATTTTTTAAAAAAAGTTCTATCTAGGCTAATGCCAAACATCTTGAATTTACAAATCCAATCATTTTTTGCATTGCTAATTCTCTTTCAAAGGTCAAATGGTCAATTCTCTTTCAATGGTCAAACCTAAAGGAGAAGGATTAAGGCCCATTATAGAAAGGATACATAGGTGGCCCAGTTCATATTATTGTAGACAGTTTTTTTGATTAGATATTAAATCCCCAAATTGTGTTATTAATCCAGAATGGACTCGGATAAGGCTGGATCAACCCAGTAGCTGCCTTATAATTTTTGTTTGTCGCTGGAAGGAATGTTGGTCATCAGGTCTGTTTACCCAACTCCAAGCTTAATCTAAGGCCAGCCTCCTGCAACTGAAACTGCAGATACCCCAAACGTATAGAACGTTGTACCTTGGAGGCGCCCCAGAAAAGCACTTGGATCAGGCCGCCAAATGGTTCAGATGAGAGGGGCCACCTGGAACCCAGCACCAGAGTTCAGAGTAATCAAAAGGTCACACTGATGTCATAATGCTGGGATTAAAGTCTGTAATTTGTTTGCAAGCAAAAGGTTCACTCCAGCTCAAAGAAGCAGGCCTATTTTTAAAGTTAATAGCCATAATAGACGGGCACAGGTGGGCAAGCAACGTTTTTATATGCCCTCATAATTCCCTGGACCAACAATCATACAGGGTCAGGAAGACTGGGCTAACCAACAATCTCTTTCTGCCCTCCGAGCAAGACTCCACTTACGTTAAAGAGGGCAAAACAAAAGAGACCTACCTACCAGGCACTACAAGTTACTTGTGTTCCTATTCCAAGAACGAGCAGGCTAGAAAGGCATGTAAGACCTCCACCGTCCAAGTATAAAAAGCATCATGTACAAAAACTTTGGGCTATTTGAAAGATGAGGCTGCCGCTGGGGCTCTGAATCTTGGAGGCAGCTCCTCCGGGAGGGGTTTTTCCCTTCCTTTCACAACTTCACCAAAGGAGCGTGATGAAGTCCAGGCATAAGGACTGCGGGATAAGGACATGCAATGTGAACTTCTGGCTACTGGGGAAAGAGGGATATTTATTCCACACCCACTCGGAAATCCTCCATTCCTACTCTCCTTCTTTCCCTCCACTGCAGAGAGGCCTGCTTTCACCCTCATCCTTATTATTTATGTTTACTTCGTGGTATCTCACCCTAGAAGCCTAAACCGATCTATAAAAGCGTTCCCTCCTACCATTTCTTCTCTTATAATAACAACTTAGTAAGGTTCTTGAGTCAAGAAAGAATGCTCAAAGTTATCTCCTGAGCCCATGTTTCACATGTCAGTACTATGCCCTCACGCTGGCTTTGAATCAAATATATCCATCCCAGAATCCAAATAAAATTATGTTTAGCAACTTGGTTGCAAAACCCAGCAATCCAACAGATCCCAAACTGCAACCCAACTAGCAGACTGTTTTATTCGGAGGGCGTCCCAAGGGTGGTTTTTCAATTCAGATCTGAAGAAGCTTCTTGGATGAGAAGCAAACATTTTTAAAGTGGGGGGGGGGGGGAGAGAAAAACCAAGGAAGTCCAACTGCCTCTTGGAAAAGGCACCTTTGGGATAACCATGACCTGGGTGATTGGGACTCTCCAGAGACATTTCCCAAAATACACCTTATTTTCTAAGTAAAATCAGAGGCAAAGGTTAAAAACAATATTTGCACCTTGACCCCTTTTCTTCTAATGGATAAGGCAGAGCAGACCTGCATCATCCTGACTTGGCATTTTTCATTAATTACTTACAGTACTGGTGTTTATTTATTTGTCTGTGTGTGTGTGTGAGACATGCACACAAACACAACCATAATTTTCTGCCCTTTATATTTGGGCCAATGATTCAGCCCCCTTTAACTGCCTGCCCATTCATTCAGCAAAAGCCTCTCCCATCCTCTTACCGGACATCCTTACAGAAATTGGGGGGGCGGGAATAAAACACATTAAAGAGAGACACCCCCCCCCCAGGTAAACAAGGCTATATTCAACCCCCCCGCCACACACACAGGTATCTCCTTCCCTCCATCGAGCATCCCCTTCTCTTCACCCCCCACAGTTTTGAACCCTCCCCCCCCAAAAGCCCCTCTTTAAAGTGGGGGGGGGGTCACCTTGGCGCCCTCTGCCCGCCCCCTCCCCATTTCCCAGCCTTCCTTTGTCCAAAGCACAACCACCACCACCCGACTCCAAAAGCCTCCCCAGATCGTGGGAGGTGAACCCCGATTTTTTTTGGGGGGGGCAAAGAGACGAAAGGGGGGCGGCCTGCAACGAGGAGGGTGTCTTATTCGGGGGAGGGGGGCACATCTTCAACCGCCCCCTCCGCCGAATTGTTCCGCGGACAGAAGAGCATCGTTTGGGGAGGGGGGGGTCTTACCCCTCCTGAAAGGGGAGGGGGCCCCATCGGAGGGTCTGGGGGGGGTCGCCGTCCCCTCCCCCGATCTCCAAAGGGGGGCGCAGATCCCTCCCTCTCGCCCTCCCCCGCCCACCCGCCGCCCCCGGGCGCCCTCCCGCGCTGCGGACCCTCCCGCCCCCCTCCTCCCCAGAGCCGCCCCTCCTCACCCTCCAGCAGCCGTTGGATGATGCTGTCGATGTTGAGCTTGTCAATATCCGCCATCGCCTCTCCGCGGCTGGGGAAGGAGCCAAGCCGGAGCCCGCCGGGTCGACTTCCTCCTTCGCCTCCTCCTTCGCCGCGGCCGCCCCCGGCTCCCGAGCCGGCGCTTGCCTCCCTCGCCTCCGCCCACCACCGCGACCCTCTCGCCCCGGGTCTCTCTTCCCTCCCTCTCTCGACCTCCCCTCCGCGCCGGTCGCGCCCGCCTCAGCAACCCAGCAGCATCCCCGGCGACGGCGGCGAACAAAATGGCCGCCCCGGCCCTCCCCTCGCCCCAGTCACCTCCTTCGGGGTGGGGGGGGCGGGGGGGGGAGGCGCAGGGATACCGGAGGAAGCGGCCGCCGGGACTTCTTTCTGGGCCAAGAGCGGGAAGCTTTGAGGGAAAAGGAGCGTGGCGCGCGCTCGCCCGTTTTTCTGTCCCTCCCAACCCCGGCCGCGCGCGCGCGCTCTCGCTCTCTTCCCCCCCCCCCTCCCGTGCGGGCGGCCTCATTCAGTCGCGCGCCCGTGATCCTTCCGCCCGTGGAAGAGATAGAAAGAAAAAGAGCGGGAGGGGGAGAGAGCGGAAAAAAAGAGTCCCTCCCCCCATCTTTCTCTCAGGGAGCTTCTGAGGGGAGAAGCCCAAGAAAGCGGGGGGGGGGGGCGGGAGCGAATAATGGAAACCTGAGGCAGAGAGAAGGGGAAAAAGGGACGGGAGAGAGAAGGGATGGCGTTCTGCCTAAGGCAGGACCCTCTGGGGAGGGGGAAGGCTCTCCTGCTTTAAAAACAGATGAAGTGGGGTACAAGGAAAGTGTTCCCTTGAGCATGTGAAGAGTCTTGTAGTTTTATCCTCCCATCACCCTGAAGGGGTTGACGGCGAAGGTCAGAGTGCACCAACTCTAAAAGCCTTTTTAAAAAAAATAGAGGAAAAAATAGAGAAGCTGTCCAGGTGCTGAAGTGAGCCACTGAATTAAATCAGTTGTGAGTTGGTGCAAAAGTCCGCAGGATTAAACTCGTAGCCACACCTGCCAAAGCTCCCCCACCGTGGAAAACAGCCCTTTCCTTTTGAAGAAAAGGGAGGAAGTCAGGAAGTCTTGGGGTCCTAAAATAAGATTAAAAGCCTTGCAAAAACCTGCAACCCTTCTCACGTGCAAACATGTTGCGGAATTTGTGGTTTCCACCCTGTACAAGAGGGGAGCAGGAGGATGTTGCAAGGAAAATGAGGAACCGTTTAAGTAAATTGATGGATGGACAAGATTTATCAATATTAGATTCCAGAAAAAAAGTGTTTTTTCCACTTGACAAGGAAAACCTCTTTCCTCCTTCCTTTCTCCTGGGATTGCAACCCAGTTTCCAAATATGACCTCCCCCCCCAAAAAAAAGAAATCCACGATTTTGCTCACAGGTTGAGTAAAAGGAAAGAGCATGCTTGAGAATGCACAGAGTTCTGTCTCCTTTGAGGCAATGGAACCCCCCCAAGCGCTTCTGTGCAGAAACAGAAACATAGGGGGCGTGCATAAGCGCACCAATGTGCCTGTCATGACCCCGGTGGAGACGGACTCTGAGGAAGAGGAGGAACAGCCAACAGGGAGTGGGAGTGTGGTGGAGGAGGCTGGGGAAGGGCAGAGGCCGGCTGAGCAGTCAGAGGAGGATCCAGGCCCATCCCTGATCCATCCTAGGTCACGCAGGGAGGAGAGGATCAGGGGAAAGCGAGGTCTACTCAAGAGGAGATTACCATGATCCTCCTCGTGGCCTGCAGGTAGGAGCTATGTGTATAAGTTTGCAACTGCGCAGTTAGAATTTGCAGGAGTCAATTTAGTGTTCACCTTGAAAAAGGTTTATCTTTGCTGGCCTTCTTCCCATGGATTTTTCTCGGTTTATTTCCTGGAGTTTATGATTAGTTACCTTGGCTTGCTTCGGTACTCTCATCAGCGCGGTTTGTTTTGGTTTTCTGTTTGCCTCATGATTTACTTTTGTGACTTTAAACTGTGCCTAATAAAACGGTGAAGTTAAGTTGAAGGCCTTACCGGACTTTAATATATATTTTGGGTTTGGGGTTCTTTGGAGAGACTACGGGTCATCACAGTGCTTACGGTCCCTGTCCTATTGTTTCTTTTATTTTTCTTATATGTATCCATGTATTCATAACTATGCTTTTACTTATACCTATTATCTTGTAAGCAATTGACAAACCAAATAGAATAAATGAATAAATAGTTTCCTTTAGAAGAAGGGATGGGTCACGTAGCAAAAGGTAAAAAGGATTTAATTTTTAAAATGCAATTAGAATTGACCCTCTTTGCAGTATTTAGCACTGAAGCTGGAATATTTGTCTTTGCATCTTCCTACATGAAGCACAACATGAATTGAGACTCCCTGAATCCAGAAAGCTGCAGCACAAAACTTGCTCTTTTTCCAAAATGTCCCCTCATTTCTAGACTAAAAGCAGCTAAAAAACAGCATCTCCTGGGCTCAGAAGATTAAAATTTTAAGAGCAAATGGGAGATCAGCAATAGAAAGCAGAGCCAGCCTCAATCCCAAAACTCTTAAGTCAGCATTAATACTGTATAGCACATTGTGTATTCCCTTCGCACCCTCCCACAGATTCTGCAGCCACCGCACATCTCGAATCTTTCCTGAATTATTTGGAGGCTTTCCCATCCTTCCATACCTTTCCCCACTCCACCCCAAATCTCTTTTATTTCGGGGCTTTGAGCATCCGGGAGGCTTTCCAACACTATTTCTGATGCATGGATGGAGGATTGGCCGTCCATAAGTGACTTTGTTATTAGTATGTACTATTATTATGGCAGATGTCAAGGCCAAATTTTGTCCTTTCCAATTGACCTACTGCTGAATAGCTTTCATAGCCTTATACTGAGATGTGGCAGAAATCTGTCAGGAGAAAGCTTAAAGGCAATGAAGGCAATATATTTAATTTCACCGGCAAGGAGAAAGAATGTCCAATGTTTTAATTGTTTTTTCTTGTTTTCTTTTTAATGTTTGGCCAAGTGTGGTTTAATTACTGCATTTAGGAGGAGTACCTGAATGGATAGGGTGGTTGTTTTTATTTCTTTCTCAAAAGATGTCAACTCTAGTGTTTAAATATTAAGTAAACATTTCTCCTCTGAGGACTTATTTTTGGAACAGGCGCAGGGACACAGAGGCGATTATGTAATAACGTTTACTAACTATGTCATTATCACTGGTGGAACTGGTAAGTCTTTGAGCCTAGGCAGGGAGCTTGAGAAAAGCTGCAGTGTCATCTCGTCTTGAAATAAGTCAGAAGGAGAGAGTCAGTACCAAGAAAATAGGGGTCATCTGGGTTAAATCATATGCCATGTGCAGAGTATGACTCTATGTAAAAATTTTAAAAAATGGATTAAGTCTGGGCAATAGGACTTAAATCAAACTGCAGAAGAAATATAAGAAGTCATCAGAATTTGAAAAACCCTTACAAGACCTGGATTTATACTCCCATGTCTAAACACTAAATGGGCTTAATTCTTTCTTTCTTTCTTTCTTTCTTTCTTTCTTTCTTTCTTTCTTTCTTTCTTTCTTTCTTTCTTTCTTTCTTTCTTTCTTTCCTTCTCTCTCTCTCTCTCCCCCCTCCCTCTCTCTCCTCCCTCCCTCCATCTTCATCTCATCGATCTTAGCTCGTTAGTTAAATTTGAATTAATTCTGAGTTCCAAAGCTTCCTTTCCTTGTCCTGGAACACATAACTCGTTCTCTGATCTGCAATCCAGTTGCTTCTTCCAAAGATAAAATCACCTTCACTAGAAAATATATCACTTTGCTGCCTAGTCATTGTACCCTTAATTATTTCTTCTATCCTGCCAGGTTCCCTTAATATTTTTTTAGTTCATTGTTCTTATTGCCAACAGGATCTTCCCTGACACCAGTAGAAAAATTCTCAACCTTATTTAAAAATTTAAATATATTAAAATGTCCATATCCCATTTTTTCAGTTCTGTAATTCAGCTGTGTTTCTCACATAGTATTCTTCTTCTCTACCTGAATTATCCCACCACCCTATTTAATAGGCAGGAGCATTCCTTTAGGGACTTTATAGCAAGGAGAGCACTTGCCTATAAAGTCACCAAGAGTCAGACAAGACTAAGTGGCTAAAAGCAACAACAGTATTCCTTAGAACTAGGCAAGTTTTAACAAGTATGTTTTAACACAACAAACTGCCTTATGGAACGAGTTATTCTTAGTGAAGAAAATGTAGACTCCTTTGCAAAGCTATAATTGTGCCAATAAAAGAAACCCAAACAAAATACCACAAGCCCTTTTTGTAGTTTGCAGTCGAGTGTCATCTTTCTATTCTAATGTGTTTAGTTAAAACCCCATGTACAGAAGTGAAATCCTAAATGCATGAAATCCCTTCCATTTGCCCCCAAATAACTCTTTGGGACACAGAAGGGATCTAATCAGCACACATTCCAAGAAAATCCCTCCTTGATCTCTTATATTTGCATTGCTTGACAAAACTAAGCATCCACAAACAATGTTTCTTCCTCGCTCTTGGCATTTCCCAAGCCTTGAATGACAATTTGGCTAAATAATACAGGGTGACTTTATTTCTTCTGCTCTCTAGCTTTGCATTTCTTTCACTGCTGCCTCCTCCAAATCTCCAATTTGGAAGAGCTTGTTTGTTTAATTTTCCTTTTGTATTTCTCTTTTCTTTGTAGGTGCTTTTTGTGGTCTTACTGGGTTGCTGATTACCGAAGATCCGGACACATTTCTGCCTTTAAAAGAAACCTGTAATTTAATTTCTGACAGATTGCAATCATTCTGTGGACATCATATTTGTGTAATGGCCACTGTATGCTTTTTATGAAATAAATTCAAAATTCATATGGCTTTACTGAACAAAGGTATGTCAAACAATAGAATATATAGAATTATCTTAACAAAGCTTATCTTTGGAATATATTCCAAATGCTGAAATTCTGTAGATGTACTGAGCACCAACAGACAGCACCAATGATCAGAAAAATAAAAGTGCACAGCAGGTTTTGAAAAGGAAGAACATGCATTTCCTTTTCATCTGACATTTTTAAAATGGCAAAAGTGTGACAGCAGCACCGTTAAGAGCTTTTAGTGTGGCAACGCTTTCCTGCACAATTGAGGAGGCAGGAAGTGATGCAAGATGAAACTACATTTTTTTTCAAGTGGTGAGACTCAGTGATGAACATTTTCCTTAACTTTTTTTTTCTCTTCCTCCCAGTAAGGCTGCTTTGTGGGCACAG